TCTCCAAAGCCTGTCCATAAATCCATCACTTCTTCAGCTACAGTCAACTTTGCTCCTCATAATACTTATAAGAAAACTAGCACTCCATCATGCCCCAGTATTTCCTGATAGGGCAATATGTTTACCAATGATGTTATATATCTGCACAAGTCATTTTTACAAAAGTACACTCAGTCCACTATGATGATCCCTATGTATTCAAAAAGAAAAAAAAAACACTTAGATTTGTGTCAATGGCACCTAACTGTGTACAATACAACACAATTTTTTATTTGTCACATACACAGTACAACATATAGTGAACTGCTTGTGTTCTGAACTGCAGACAGGACACATAGCCACGCCATTCCAGGGCTGGTTTTTAGCATGTGGTGCCTTGCCAGGACCCTTACTGGATACCAGGTGGGAATCGAACTTGCAATCCCCAGATATGTGTAGTCCTACCACTACACTATCCAGCTGTGTACTGTTTCCACTGACACTTTTGTCTATCGTGTCATCTCCTTTTGGCTTTGAGACTTTGAGTCTTCCTAGATGAGAAGTCAATTTATTCAGCTACGTGTGGAGTTTGTATGTTCCATATGAGGTTAGAATTGTCAGTGCATAAATCCTCATATTACAGTACAAATATTGATGCAAAGATGTGTCCATTCTTCACTGATGGCTAATTCAAGATGTATCCAAACAAGACTTTAACTCAATTAAAGGTTTTATAACTTCACAAGGCTTTTTCCCCTCTTATCCACAAGTGAACTGTTGGTCAATAATGGCTTTTTCTTCTTGCATCCAATTCATTTCCAGCACCATCCTGCATTTGTGTTTTTGCTCACATCATTCATGTTTTTTTTACCTGTGGTTCTGATTTTCTCTTCTAAGTCGCTCAAGTCTTAAACTCATCTCAAGTCTACATGGTGGTGGTAGCTTTACTCACATTTCTGGTCCCATTTACAAGTGTTTCATTGGGTGAGCTTCAGTAGACTCCAATCTTTGCTGTAGGTTCTCCATTCACTATCCCAACACACATCACCCTTTCTGCCTGAATGCAAGCTGATTCTTTCTTCTCTCCCCTGACCTTTGCCAACTCTCAGCCTTATCACACACTCTGTGCTCTCCTGGCCATCAGCAGCCTTGAGCCTTAATCCAGGCTCTCTCTTGCCGCCTGTATTTTGCAACTCTCAGCTTCAGCGCAGGCTCTGTACTTTCTGCTGGTCATCAGCAGCATTGAGTCTTAATGCAGGCTCTCTGTTGTCTCTCTTGTCCTTCACCTCATCAACTTCTCCATGCTGTCTCTCCTGGTGTACATTGGCAATGAGCCTTTTTCACAGGCTCTCCTTCTCTCTCTTAACTTCAATCTAATCTCATTCCTTACCTCAAAGATGGCAATTCAATTCAATTCAGTTCAATTTTATTTATATAGTGCCAAATCACAACAAAAGTCGCCTCAAGGCGCTTCATAGATACAGAGAAAAACCCAACAATCATATGGCCCCCTATGAGCAAGCACTTTGGCGACAGTGGGAAGGAAGAACTCCCTTTTAACAGGCAGAAACCTCCAGCAGAACCAGGCTCAGGGAGGGGCGGGGCCATCTGCTGCGACTGGTTGGGGCGAGAGAAGGAAGACATGCTGTGGAAGAGAGACAGAGGTTAATAACAGATATGATTCAATGCAGAGAGGTCTATTAACACATAGTGAGTGAGAAAGATGACTCGAAAGGACCTCTCTGGCACTCTCCTGACCTCCAATTGTCTTTGAGCCCCGATGCTGGCTCAGTCACTGCTCTGCCTCACTCTACCTCTTTGCTATTCAGACCATTCCCTCAGTTTTCTCACTCGCCATGATGCATCTGTACTCATTTTATGTCTTACCATGTATTTTTTACCAATCCTGCAGCTAAAGTTTGTGTTATATTCTTTAGAAAGGAACTTTCTACCATGGTAAGATT